GTCTTCATGCCAACCTGTCCCGCGAACAAAAATACTCACCATCCTTGCCCCGTTAACCCTCATAAGTTGGTAGGGTACATGGCGAATTTTCTCATCACGTGTTCGGGTATTTATATCTCATTTACCCGATGAGTTATTTTAATTGTAAAATAAACATATAATTTATTTATTTATCATACAAAACTTTAAGTTAAAATAAGAGAAAGCTAGTTTGGAATTTAATATACGTTATGTAATATATTATACTTTGAATTATTATATATAATATATTTAATTTCGAAAAAGCATACAATCAAGGAGGGTGAACAGGAAATAGAGTTGTTGATCTCTAAACCCCTCTGTCCTGGGACCCACGGTTAGTTAAAATTTTAACCTATTTACAGCTCAAATTCATTTAAAGTAATTTCCCATCCTATTTAATACGGATCCCCCGAAGCCTCGTTTATTTCACTGATTCGAGTTTTCAGTTTTAGATTTCTACAGTAAAAAGCTCTTAAAAAATGTCACATCTAACTTTTTCTGCTATAGCGAAAAGCTATCAGAAAATGTCACATTTCAGCTCGAATTGAAAACTCGAATCCGCGAAGTGAACGAGTAGTAAATGGATTAACAGGTATATAATTGTCATCCTTATCCATTCCTCTTTCTCCTTTTCTTCAACTCTAAACCTAAAACTTGATTAAACTCCCTCAAAATCTCAAAATCTTCATCTATTTACCCTTTTGCCACACGTTCTCCTTTTTTCCCTTCCTCTTCTCACCACCCTGAAGCCTCGCCAAACCGTTGTCACTGAGCCGCCGGAGGGAGTCGCCATCCTCTACTTTGCTGCCTTCCTTGCTACCATTTACAAATAAGTTTCATATTTATGGATCTTCAAACTTAATTTTGATTTGTTAAATTTATGGTGTGTTTAGTGATTTGGGATTTTGTGATGTTGTTTATTTTATTAGGTTAGTAACTGGGATTTGGGATTTATGAGTAAGTTGTGATAATTGATTGATTGATTTTAGAAATTAATTTTATTTAAATGTAGTGAATATGTGATAAATATGAGTTTCTGTTTACTTCGCTGATTCGAGTTTATAATTCGAGTTGAGATGTGATTTTATGTGAGAGCTTTTTACTGTAGTAAAAAAATTAGATGTGACTGTTTCTGAGAACTTTTTACTGTAGTAAAACTCAAATTATAAACTCGAATCGGTGAAGTAAACGGGGTCACTGAGCTTGGTTTGGATTTGGATATGGTGGAAATGTTGAGTTTATGCTTGGTTTCGCTTTGATGCAATTCCATTTAATTATGTGTTTTTATGTTAATTTAATTTGGTTACCTAATCTGGTTTAGATTGAATTAGTTTACCTATGCGGCAAAGTTAGTTTTTCGTCGACTGAAAGTTAAAAAAAATGATGGAATACAACACATGAATCATGAGTGGTAGGCTGATATACGAAAAGTAGATATGAAACTATATAGCAAACTTAAATAAAATAAAATAAAAAGGCTGATCCTACCCTAAAAGCCACTGATACATGAGAGGCACGTGATCTATATCATCTGGCTAGACTAATATTAACGTATCAATATAGACGAGTCAGTTTTGAGATATTTTAAATATGAAGGATTAAAGTAAGATTTAGTGTAATGTTGGCGGACCATTTTTTGGGAATAATCATTTATTATCATGTGCAGAAATTAGGAAATCAGAAGGCAAAACGTGACTTTAATATTATGATATGTCACATAATCGTTGGTTTCTTGAAGTTCGATATTGAGTGAGAAGTAAGAGACTAGCATTCACAAATACCAAACTCCAAAAAAAAAAAAAAAAAAAAAAAAAAAAAAAAAAAAAAACAAAAAAAAAAAAAAAGATAAGAAATCCTTTACCATCCACTAGTGACTACTAGGTCAAATGATATAATTAAAGTGAGGTGGGACTGAGATTTGGAAGAGTGCACTTTCATCCCGCATTGTTAAAAAAAAATACAATAAAATAAAATAAAATCCTTAAGCATTTGTAAATATTCATACCTTAAAACCGTTGATAAAAAGTAAAGTCCTAATATCTTTCTTCTCCCAAGGTTTGGTTATTCTTTTTCTTCTGTGCCAATTCAACTGTAGGCTTCACTGGGCCGGAGTCCGATGCCACCGTACGGCGATGCTCCGGACTCCTAGCTCCGAGAGTAAGTCACCAGATGCAGCGGCTTGGATCTTTCCGAGAAGGCGTCGTCGAGTTCATGGGTGGGGAGGGATGAGCGGTGGTTGGGAGTGATTGGCGCATCATCCATTTGGTTGTCGTCCTTGGGAGCATCCTTGCTCCGGTAGATCTAAGTCCCTCGGAGTTTGCCTCCCTCAAATCGGCGATTCCTTCAAGGGGGCTGATGGATGGAACGGCGATCAAAGATGGCGACGGAGGAGGTGGGCTGGTCTCTTCTTCAAGTAGCGTGCTCTGTTGCGGCTCTCTTGCCCATCCATGGTGGTGGTCGGAGCGTCATTGGAGTCTCTACCGGTGTCTTTTGGTGTTTACCTTTCTTGTTTTAATTTTTGTGTTTGTAATAAGGCGTTGATATTTCTGCCGTTCTGTTTTAATTTGTTTATATTTCGTTGTTGGTCGCCAGCGTGTATTCGGCGTGTTCTAGGTTGTGTTTCTGATGTCCCCTCGTTATGGGGGTTTGTAATAATACCTTTCACAGCGTGAAAGTTTATTTCGATGGAAAGGGTTTCTTCTACTAGAATTTTGATTGTGCTCGTTGGTAGTGTACCGAGGTGTTATCTCGTTTTTAGGCCTTGGCCATGCCTCTGATAACTTGTTGGGTCATTAGTGTTGTCCTGCGTATTTATATCTGATGTGTTTGTAAGTATTGATATCACATCAATTATCTAATAACAACATCATTTTTCTTAAAAAAATATTCATACCTTCATGAGGGGAAAAAAAAAATGAAGCACAAACCGAAAAGGAATTAATTTTGACGAAAGTTCAATTATTTATTTATTTATTTCGGTAAGAAACGTCATTCATAAATGAATATGAAAGCCAGAAAGTTCTATTATCATGGCTACGGGAGAGATGAAATCGTAAATGCATATGAAAGCCCAAAAAAAAAAAAAGTCATATCAATGAGAAATTATTCAATAAACTGAGTGTATCACGTTATATGCTTATATGGTACACTAACCTAATAAAAATTAACATATGGGTTTTTTTATGTCATTTTTATGCAATTAAATGTTTTTTCTTTGTGTGTTTTACATTAATTGTTTAGTCAAAATCATCCTAAATACTATACTTAATAAATTTTCTCCTTTTTTTTTCTAATCAAATCTCTTATATCAATTAACTTCAAATAATATAACTTAATTTTTTTAAAAAAATTATTACCTTTAAGTTAGTTTGAAAAAGTTTAATCGATCCAAACCAATGGTGCGTTGCACCATACAATTCTCTTTTCTTTTAGCCGTTATCTTTTTATTGACATTCCATATAGAAATTTTATAAGAGAGTATAAGGCCTCGTTCATTTTACCGATTTGAGTTTTCAGTTTTAAGTTTTTATAGTTAAAAGCTCTCAGAAAATATCACATCTAACTTTTTTTATTACAGTTAAAAGCTCTTAAAAAATGTCACATCTCAACTCGAATTGAAAACTCAAATCCGTAAAGCGAATTAGGCTAAGAAAATGTAGAATAAACTGTTTTACTGTACATACATACATATATATAACCAATCGTAAATATTTCAGATTTATTTTTTCTATATGATTGACTCAAATATTACTAATACTCAAAAGCGTAATTTTTTTTTTTTTGAAGGGAAAATGATTTTTATTACTTAAGTAAAACTCAGAAAGAACAAAAGTGCCAATAAAACCTGGTATACAATCAAACCAAACAAAGTCTCTACCTGCAAGTAAGGCTCTTTTAGTTCGTTGATTCGGGTTTTTAATTCGAGTTGAGACGTGGCTTTATGTAAGAACTTTTTACTATAGAAAAAAAAGTTAAATCTAATTGTTTCTGAGAACTTTTTACTGTAGCAAAATTCAAAATTCTAAACTCGAATCGGTGAGAAGAACGGACCATAAAATTAGCCAAACAATGAGCTATGGAATTCCTTTGTCGAGAAATGTAGCAAATAAATTCACGAGTAGCTTGAGATGAAGCTTCCCATATATCATCAATGATGGAAGCTTCAACGGCTTTCGATCTCGGACCTCGCACCGCATTTCCCTCGCAATTTTCTTGAATTCTCCTTACAAGAAAAGTTCTGCTTCAATGTGGTTTGAGTAGCAAACGATTCACAATTGGAAAGAACGCACCATGACTACTGACTAGCTAGCGTCGTTAATTTAAAATTTTCTAAACTATTTTAAAAATGTATAAAATAATTTTAAAGAGGATAAAAAGTTAGAGCGCGTTTAGAACTCGTTCCAAAATGATTTTATTTTTTGTATGAAAATGAAAACGTTTTCAATCTCAGACAGAAACCGTTTTTAAAAATGCGTTTGGTAGTTTTATTAAGAGATTATTTTCAGTATAAAAAAAATCATTAATGTCTATCTCTCTGCTCGAGAGAGGAGAAAACGAAAACAAAAAATGAAAAACGACTAAAAGTCGTTTCTCATTTCTCTCTCATTTTACACTAAACCAAGAAATCGTTTTCATTTTCGTTTTTTGTTTTTATTGTGCCAAACGCCGTTTTAAAAACGTTTTCATTTTTTTTTCTCGAAAAACGTAAAAAATAAAAACGGGATCAATTCCAAACACAGCCTTAGTGTCTTCCAAAATTAGTTAATTAATTTAAAAAAATTTGGTAAAGCATTTATGAGGATTAAACATTAGGAAAGAGAAATTTAATTGCATAGAATTAACATAGAAATTTAATTGCATAGAATTAACATAAAAGGACCATCTATGTCTTATCTTTTTATTGAGTTGCTGTACCATATAAAAATAATAATGTAGTATACCCGGTTCATTGAATAATTCATCCGTATCAATACCATGCAGTCTGTTCATGAATTTGGTTGCAAATTAGCTTAAGTCGCCAGTATTTTTCTTTTTTTCAGGTCTAATACAACATTATTTCATGAATAATTCTTGGCAACTTTGAAATGAGAGCTGACAAGACCCCCTTTTTTTTTTTTTTTTTGGGGGGTGTGGTAGAGTCTCCCTATGGAACCTCAATATAACTCGTTCTTAAGGAGACCAAGGGAATAAAAGAAAACACTGACAAGCAAAGCTCATAATTAAAAGCAAAAACCTTGCAATGTAAGACAATGAAGTTCATTGTCTGAAACCCTTCAGGAGCAACTCAAAGTGTATATTATTCAGTTCTATAGGAGTCCCATAAAATCTTTTATTCATAACTCAACTCAAAACAGAAAAACTCGACTTCCAGAAAATGCATTCAAGAGCGAGCATAACGCACGGAAATACGCCGCTGTATGGGGCTCCTACAAGAAGGACAATCTTTCATGCCCTGCTTCTCATGGAGTTCATTGCAAGTTGTGCAAACCACTTGATGGGCACATGGGAGGAAAACCACAGACATCTCCTCTGACAGGCACATAACACACTCTCTCTCACGTTTTACCCCGCCCGTCTCCAAGAAGACCTGAAGGCCTGCAACGGCTTCAGACGTAAAAGGTGCCCTCGACTGCTTGCGATCCTGGCCATTTCTGATGTCCGTCAGTTTTCCAGCATAGCTTCCATCAATGCCTCTCCGAAGTGCAGCAATTTTTGGAGAGTCGGTCTCCCGTCTCAACTGGGAGATTTCTTTCTCAAGCTTCTGAATATCATCTTTGTATTTCTGTAGATTGTTTTCTGCTTTTAATTTAATCATGTCCTCTTTTGACTTTGTTGAAACCTCAATCTGTTCTCTTTCTTTTTTCATTGAACTGATCTGTGCAAGTATTTCTTCCTTGGCTTTCTCCTCCTGTTGCCATCGTGCCTGTAATATTTTTCCTTTGAATGAGAAAGGGCTCTGAGATTATATTGATGATTTAAAGAAGCACAAAGAAATCAATGAAGAGCACAAGTATGTAGAACAATGAACAATTATACTATATCATTTCGAGATTTAACTAAATTAATCACTTTCACAGTTCACACTTGTGAAATGATGTTCAATATTTCCAATCAGGATAAGTTTATTCCAGAACAAAGATAGATAAAATTAAAAACCAACCTAAACTCCACCTAGATAAATATTAATACATGTCTGGACAAAAAAAAAGTGCAAAATACCTACATTCCTTACCAAAAACACTTAATGATACTATGCAGAGCCAAAATACTAGTTAAACCTGTAATTGCTGCATCAATGTGCCTCCTGAAATATGATTCCGTGAGAGGTATGCGTGTGTGTGTGTGTGTTGATATATATATATATATATATATATATATATATTGTGGAGCCAAATTTCTTTTAGGGGGAGTGAATTAAACTAAAATTTTGAAATAAAGTACAATGCAAGATGCAAGTGATAAAAATGCAAAACCTCTTTCACTTGTAAAGATACAACTATTAGTGTCATTATACCCAATAGATTGCTATGTGTACATTGACAAAGTCCGAGGTAGGCAACTATTCCAGGACAAAAATGAAAATATTCAAATAATTGACAGGGACTAAAAGAACGATTTAAATTTTTACAAAGCATACCTCAAACTGTTCCTGGAGAGCCTTCTCTTGCTCTAGTTCCCGAAGCAACTGCGTCAGTTTACGTTTTTCTGCTGCAAGTTCTTCCTGCAAAAAAGCTTTCTGCTTCTCCCATGACTGAAACTCCATTAGTGTCTTCTTCTCCCTCTTTGATACCTCCTGGCAGTTTGCAGCAGACTCTGCAGCACGAAGTTTTGCACCCTCCATCTCCTGCCTCAGTAATGCGTTCTCTACCTCAAGCTTCCGAACCGCAGAGTTAGCACGCTCAACTTGCCCACTAGCTTTGCACAAGGCATTCTCCATCTCAGAGAGCTTCTTCATGGTATTTTCCTCTAAAGTCTGCTTCTCTTTCTTCAGGCGTTTAACTTCTTCTTTCTCTTGCCTAAGTGTTTTGAGTTCCTCCTTGTCCTTACTCAACCTCCGGGCAGCCTGCATAACCTTCTGATTTGCCCATTCTGTCCACTCTTGCATTTGATTTTGGAGTTCCTTTATTCTTGGTACTAGCTTCAAAATCATTTCATCCTTTCTGTCTCGGGGAACCCACTGCCCCAGAGACTTATCGTACGGTATACCTGCATAACTACTATTAGGTGCCTCCATAGTACTACTCATTGGCACTACAGCAGAGTTGTTCTTAGATGAAAGCGAAAGAGAAAGCTCGGTATCGGCAACTTGTAATGCGTGATGAGTACTTGATGGTGGTAATGCTGTTGTGGTGTCAACTTCAGGTAATGTCAACTGGGTATCTATCTTAGGGGAAGAAATGGTATTGCCATTGTCCAAGTCTGGTGCTACTATGAAAGCGGGTCCAGCATTGGTAGAAAGATTGTTTTTCCCGTCCTCTTGAGGGGCATCAACTCCCCTAGCCTTGCTTATCTTTAAGGATGCATCCATTGCGCAAGCATGAGAAACATTCATGTCACAGATTAACAAGCACCACATGGCATCCCCGGTGCTGAAGAAAGGCCTGACCTCTCGGAGAACGCAGACTAATTCAGCCAACACGTACTCCTCCAGCTGCCGTAGATCATCAAAACAGTGCTCCCTCGAAGGATCAATCTCTTGCCCACTTCTAAGAAATGCTAAAGTACTATCCACTATATTTGAGACGGTGTCTTTACTCCCATAACAATGGCCAGACCTCAAGACTGCCTTTGTGGCAACTTCTTCAGTGTATCCACAAGCCACAAATTTTTTAATTGCACTCCTGAAAATAGTGTCCAAATTACTTATAACAAGTTCTTCGAGCTGAGCTTCAGTAAGATCACTCCAATCGGCATCATGGAATTCATCAGCCTCTACCTCCTCTCTAGGCCGGCTTGGCCCAACCTCCGATGTACCTACAGAGCTAGACAGTCCAAGGTCAAGTTTTAAATTATCAGAATGGTTTAGATTGACACTACACAAGTCACAAACATTGGATTGTGGTTGACCCGGGTTGATCTCAAACTTTTCAGCTGAAAACACATAACTTGAGGAGTCACTCTGAGTCTGAGGCAAAGACACAATCTTATTCATATCGCCCAGAGGTGGATCAGCCCGGAATTTCCTTTTGTTCCTACTTCCCTTTTGTTGAACAGTTAATGAAGAAGACACTTGAGAACGAGAGCTACAACCACTACTCGCCGGAGCAACCATTGAAGCCATTTTTTCCACTGCACACATTATGAAAAGACATTTCTGTTAGCCCCTAATTGAACACTAACAAGTTAGCAAATGATCAACTGATCTATCAAAACCCATTAATTCATAATATCCACAATCAAATTTGATAACAACATTGGGGGAAACAAACAGATTGAAAGAACAAAAATTCCATTGTTTTCAAACAAAATGGTTAGGTCTGATCATTCTTTCGAGCTTAGGGATTGAAACATCATTTTTCTCAAAAAAAAAAAAACAATAATAATAATAAGAAAAGAAACCAATTGACAAATTGAACGAATACAATAATCAACCCAAAATAAAGAATCACAAGATTTTCTTCTGCTACAAAAAAATAAAATAAAATAAAAAAAATAAAAAACACGCAAACACTAACCGATCCAAACAAAAAATCGAATGAGCGAGAGAGAGAGAGAGTTGCGAAAAAACCCGGAAACGAATTGATCCTTGTTCTCCAAAACAAAACAAAATTAAGAAAAAATTCAAGAAATTGACAAGAAAAAATAGGGATTTCGATGGAGCGAAACCCAAAATTAGGAAATGGAATTGGGAATTTACCTGAGATGGTGCTGGTGATGAATTTGTTGTTTCTTGCTTTTCTTTTGTTTTCTTTTTTGAGGGTAATCAGAGCAAGACAGGTCCGATGGTATTATTTGGGGTTTGATGGATATTTGGGAAATGGGAATGGGAAGAAAAGTTAAAATTGAGAAAGAGACAAAAATAAAGGATTCACAATTTGAGTTTTTAATATAAGTTGATATATGATTATATGTGAGAGTTATGATTATTTCTAAAAAAAAATTTACTTTATTAAAATTCGAATTCTAAACGCAAATCGGTAAAATAAACGGAATCAAAATAATTATCCTCTTTTTAAATAGTTTTATTTTTTAAAAAGATTAGCGTCACTCTTTCTTTTTGTTATTTTATGTATTTATTTTTTTTAACACGTGAATTTAATTATCTTATTTTTTATTTAAATAATAATATATTATATTAATAGAATTTATGTGTCAAATAGTAAATGTAAAAAATAATAAAGAGAGTAACAAAAAAAGTGACGTTAGTATTTCTCTTTCATTCTTATTCATTCTTAACACATGACTCTCTAAAACCCTATTCTTTTCACAACTCAAGTCATAACTAAAATAGTGCTACAGTATTTTCTCAAAAAAAATTTAAATTTAACTTATTTGTTACAATATTTTTCTCTCACAAACACAACTCAAGTTCTCAATTGAGATGTAAAACAAACATAGCGTTACTAATCTTTAAATTTTAATTTTGACAATTAATTTTCTAAATTTATCAAATTATTGTAATGTGACCAGACTTGTTAAAATTATTTAAATGAAGAGTGAAAAGAAGGGAGATTGTTGTCAAAATAAAAAATGTATAGGTAATTTATTAAAGTATGAAATGCTCAGGGATAAAGTATCAAAAATATGAGGCGCGCACGAGTATTTCCATCACCTTCTTAAACAGTGTTATCAATTTGAGTCAAATCGCAGCGCTTGACAAATTTAGGAGCTTTTGAAAACTCATCTATTTATATTTGTGTAATTCTATTCATTACTAATTGCATGTCTAAAAAACCATAGGTATTAAAGTGACGCTTTTAGAGCGTGAAGGTACTTTTTTTAATATTATTTAAAGCATTAGAGTAAGATTAAGATGTTTTTGAATAATAAAGGAAACTAAAAATTCTAAAACAAAGGGACAATTATGACCACACAATATTTTTAAGCTTTTTTGTATATATGAGCACACCTTAAATTTATCGCAATTGGCAAATCAATTTCTAAACTAACATTCTTGAAAATTGACCTTTGAATTTTGAAATCATTGCATAACAAGTCCGATTGATAATTTTAGATAAAGTATAAGGTTGCCCTCCAAACTATAGGCATTGTCACAAAATAATCCTAGAACTTTAATTTGAGTTATTTTTGTTTTCCTCTGAACTTTAGTAACTCTTGTAAAATTTCCTCCTTTATTAAATTTTTACTTCCGTTATTGTTGTTGGCCTCTATTTATAAACCCCAAAGGTCCCTATGTCAAGCAAATAAAGGAGAAAGTTAGGTATAAAAAAAAAAAAGATAACTCCCATTAAGTAATTGCACTTTCCTGTGACTGTGCCTGGATAAGGAGGAGCTAACAAAGCAATTATTTACCAAGTTACTCAAGCTGCACTCATTATTTGTGAAATAGGCTTTCTTTATGTTAAAAATCTTAATATAAAGAGTTCTTTTGTTATTTTTTTCACTTTATATGTCATTTTCCATTAAAAATTTAGCATACGAGGAGAATTTACAAGAATTACTGAAGTTCAGGAGGAAGGAAAAGCTAAAATTAACGTTTGGGAGGCATTTTATGACATGTCTATAGTTTAAAAGACAACCGTATAATTTATCCTAAAATTTTTGATACAATTTCATCATGTGACAAACATTTGACTCTCAAATGAGGATATAATAAGTCTTTCATCATGTATTCAACATGTTTTTTTTTTTTGGATATAAAGATTCAAATTTTGTTTGACTTATTATTCCTTTAAGAATTAGTTTAGTAAAAAATAAAAGAATAAAAATTTACGTAGAGTATAGTTAAAAGGAAAATTCTCCCTGAACATATGTTACATTTTAAAGATTATGATCAAAATATTATAGGAGGTATAATTCAGGAGAAATTTTTGTAATTAATCCTAAATTCTTCTTGTGTCTCCAACATGGCAATACATGCAGAACACGATAAAAAATTAGTGGGTCAAAAACAATAAGCATTCTTGTGATGATACGTGTCAAAAAAAGGAGATTTTTTTTTCTTTTTACTTTTTTATGTATGTTACTAGCTAAATATAACTAGCATAGAGTGGCTAGTCATTTCATCTTTTATATTATTTTATTCTTTTAACTATAATAAATGCAAAGGTTGTTTTATAAATTTAATAGAATTATTTTATTTCAAATTCAATAAATATTAAAATAATCTATATTTAGTTAAAATAGAAAGTATGATTTGAGTGACTCACCAATAAGTTACTAGCTAAAATATTTTTGTACCTATTTTAGTTAGAATTTAACTAAAATTTAAAGAGCTCTTTTGGAGATGCTATAAAATATTTTAAGATAATAATTAGTATTACATGAAAAATTAAGTAGGGAAAACATTTAAAACAAAATAACTTAACATGAGTCAGGAAGGAAACAAAATTTCAAAAACCACATCGGAGAAGAATTAAAATGTTAAAAAAAATCTCGCAAAAAAAAGAAGAAGAAGAAGTGAGGATGCATTTGAAATAAAGTATTTTAACTATGGGTGTAAGAATTGAGCCCGAACCCGAAAAACCCGCCTGACCCGACCTGACCCGACTAAATAGGTTTTTTTTTTTTCAGATTAAAATGGTCCCAACCCGCACTATGCGGGTTGGGGACTGGTCGGGCATGCCTGAACCCGCAATGCCCCGACCCGGCCGTTTTGAAGCATTAGCCCTAATTCCTAAATCCCTCGTCCTCACTCCTCACCTCAGTTTCTCGACTCTCTCCTGATCCTCTGATGTCCTCGCCTCTCGCCTCCCTCATCTCCTCTTGCCTCTGGCCTCTCGCATCGCCTCCTCCTTCACCCTAAATCCCTCATCCCTAAATTACTCGCCGTTCCTCACCGTTCCTTGCCGTTCCTCGCCGTTTCTCGCCGTTCATCGTAAGCCACCGTTCCTCTTCTTCTTCTAGATTTTTTTTGTTTTGTTTTTTTATTTATGATTTATCTCTGAATCAGAGCAAACCAAACAGAAATGGGTCTGTTTGTTTGATTTCATTTTTGATTGATGTCGTTTTTGGTTGATTTTCATTTTTCGCTTGATGTCGTTTTTGGTTCCAGTTGCCCTGGAGGTGGAGCTCACGGCGGCGACAGTTTGATTCTTGCTTCTTGCTTTTTCCAGTGTCATCAGGTAAGTTCCTTCTTGCTCCTATGTTTTTTTTCTTCCACTTGTAATTTCTGCGTTTTTGGTCTGATTTTTCCAATAAAATAACATCAGTTGGAAACAAAATTTAACATTTGGGTTTTAGGTTTCTAATGTTATCCGATTTGCGTGTTATTTGCTTTTCGTTTTCTTTATATCTGCAAGTTCGGTTCTTAGTGTCATTTTTGCTAATAATAATTTTGTTCCATTTATTCTATATATTTTTGAAAAAAAGGTCGAAACTTTGAAGTGATTTGGTGGATTTTATGAGTTCCAATTGCCTTGGATTAATCAATTTCTCAGAAAATTGACATCGTTTCCGACGCAACATCGAGTTTGGATTTCAAATGAGGTGTGGTTTTAAAGTAAAATGATTTGAAGGAGAAGATGGTTTTAAAGTACAACAGAGGAAAAAACGGAAGTAGAAGGAAAAGGGTGTTTGTTAGGAAAATGAAGGAGAAAAATGTGAATGAGTACAAAAATGACGTGGACAGATGCTTGACCGACCCTATGGAGGATCCAACTCGGTCAAATTTTGATGTTTTAGATTGGTGGAAGAATAATGTAACTAATTACAAGGTTCTCTCACTAGTTGCAAGAGATATTCTTGCCATTCCTGTTTCAACGGTAGCCTCAGAATTTACTTTTAGTACCGGAGGCCGCATCCTCGATCCTTGTAGGAGTTCATTGAGCCCCAAGATGGTGGAGGCATTGATTTGTACACAAAATTAGCTGCGTAGTCGTGAGCATATCAACCTTATTGACGTGGAAGACTTTAATGAATATGAAGATATTTAGTCAGGTAATCTTTTTACGTTTTACTTATTTTTTTTAATTTTATTTCATCTCCTTGTTGTTTATTTTGTTGTTCTAAACTTGATTTTGATGATTTTTTTGTTATGTTTTCTTCTCAAGATTTGTCAAATTCTGTTGCAACACATGAGGGGCAAGTTGGGAATGAAGGTGCTATTATTCTGGATTAAACAGTTTAGAGTGGACTAAATTTCCTATTTTGCGACTATCTTTATATGGACTGTTTATTCTAGATTAAACTGTTTATTTTATATAGACTATTTTGCTTCTCAAGATTTTATTTCATCTCCTTATTGTTTATGCTTTTGGACTGTTAAAAGATGTATGAAGTCATAAATTAAAATTAGTTTTCACCAACCCGAGTAACCCGACCCCTACCTGAGGTCACCCGAAAGGTTGCGAGTTTGTAGATTTAAGAGAGTATCGCGGCCCAAAGTTTTATCAACCCGCACTAGTCGGGTCGGCTCAATTTTTCGGCTCAACCCGACCCTACCCGGCCAATTTACACCCCTAATTTTAACGAAAAAGGAACAAGAAAAAAGTATTTTAAAAAAGACACAAGGGTCTATTTGAAAAAAAAACTATTTCAGTAAGGTAAAAAGAGGAAAAAAAAAGTATTTTAGTATACATCTTAGAATATAGGTATTACAAAGAAAAAAAATAAAATAATGTTATGAGATAAGTAAAACAAAACAAAATTGAAAGGAAAAAAACTTTATATAGAAGCCTTTAACAAAAAGAAAAAGGGAGAAAGAAAAACCCAAACAAGAAACCAAAAAGAAAAAAAAGAATGAGAAAAATGAAAAATAAAAAAAATGGAAAAAAGAAATGAGGAGCCACTGTGTGGCGAAAGGAAAAGATGTGTCTTTGACTATTATATATATGTAAAGATTACAGAGATAAAAATTAAAGATAAAGATTACCCATATCTTCTTTAATTGTTGAATTAGGGAAGTAAGAATACATAACAGTTTATCAAACTATAGTTGGAAAAGACAAGAATGAATGAATCAAAAGGAAAAAAAAAATGATAGAAGAAGGGAAAAAAAAAAAAAGACAAATATATATTGGTTAAATCTTACTATCTCTTAAGTGATTTGTCTGAGAGGAAAATCTGTCAAAAATTTTATACCATTCTCAATTAGACTTACTATGCAACGATTTCAAAATTCAATAAGTCAATTGTCAATAATTTTAATTTAAAGACTAATTTGCCACTTGTGGTAAGTTCAGGAAGAGCTCATGTAAAAAAGTGTTATTTTTAAGGATCATTCCCAGACGTTTTTCAAAAAAAAAAAAAGAAATAATAATAATACTTGAGTTCTGTCATTGACAATGAAATATGCAAATACAAAAGGAAATAATTTTAATTATAAATAAATAAATGATAGCAAATAATTTTATATTCTTTTCCTTTCTTCTATATTTAATAAGACACTTATTAAAGAAGTAAGTTAAAAATAGTTGTCACCTGGCTTAATGGCTTTGTTGAAAATTTGCATTATTGTTCCAGATCCTTGAGATGTAAAATAGAATACTTATTTTGCTTATGTAGAGTACTTATGCATTATACTTATGTAGAATACTTATTTTGCTTCCAATGAGGGAAAGTTAGATATAAAATATGATTTTACTTATCATGTCGAAAGTAAAAAATATAGTAAAAAGTTTAGAATATTTCACAAATAGAAAAAAAAAAAACTAAAAAACATTAAAACAGGTATTACATAATTTTGTAGTAAAAACTTCAATAACATTATAAAAATTGTTATATGAGTTTACTATTCCTAAAATATTTCAATAAAACCGTTATACTTCAACTTTGTAATGCAGTCTAATTTGTAGCATAAATAAATGGATCATTTTTGTAGTCTTATCCTCTAAAGTCCACCAATATAAAGCCAACACCATCAATGCAGTTCAAATATTTATACTCATTATAGTCAAAATATACATATAATGGTTATTCTAATGTTTATACATTGGTAGGTACTATTATAATTTTAATTTTGCTATATTAATCAGATAGCTATAAAAAATTTTATAATTATCAAAAAAATTATAATAATTAACAAGATTGAATTTTTATAACGTCATGACATCATATTTTAATATTTAATGAGTAACTACCAATAAAAATAAAACTGTTAAAAACTCGTTCATATATATTAGTTGTATAAACTCGTTCATATATATTAATATCCTTAAGTTGAAAATAAAATATTTAAAAAAGAAAGAAAGAAAGAAAAGTTCAGGCGCCTATTGAAATGAAAAGTTGCAAGCTGTGGCACCATTATATTTATAGCTCAGGTGAGAATTGAAATGAAAAGTTACAAGCTGGGGCAGCATTCTTATTTATCAAAAGTCAAGAGCTCGCAAATGTTATAACAATAAGAATTTGGGGTCCAAATAACATTACAAAAAAGGATATCCTCAATTCCAAAAATGGGGTTTTTCTAGGTTTAGGGTTTAGGAGAGTGAGGGCTTTCGCTTTTATAGAAGAACGAAAGAGGAAAAAAAAAAAAAAAAAAAAGCTTCAAAAAGCTCCGCCATTTCTGCTGTTGGAGCTTCTGATTTAGCTTTCTCATCACTCATCATGTGGGCTCTTCGTCGTGCTTCTGTTCCTCTCAGGTCTCTCTCTCACTCTCTCTCTCTCTCTCTCTCTCTCTCTCTCTCTCTCTCTCTCTCTCTCTCTCTCTCTCTCTCTCTCTCTCTCTCTCTCTCTCTCTCTCTCTCTCTCTCTCTCTCTCTCTCTCTCTCTCTCTCTCTCTCTCTCTCTCTCTCTCTCTCTCTCTCTCTCTCTCTCTCTCTCTCTCTCTCTCTCTCTCTCTCTCTCTCTTCCCTCTTTGAGTTTGGTGCTGAACTCATTTTCCTGTTTGGTTAACTGTGAAGTTACGGAAATGAATGGAAATTTCAACGCTGGGTGTTGTTATTCTCGTCGTTTCGTGTCTCGGAACCAGAAAATTACAGATATTTCTGCTTGGTTATGGAGATAGTATCGGAAATTTAGTTTTTCGGAAGCTGGGTTTCGTCGACTTATCGTCTTGAAATTCCATGCTTTTTTGAATCGCTGTGATTCGTTTTTCATTCTTTTTAATGAATCTAAACCTTTCTCGGGTCAGTTTGATTATAATCTCTTGTTTGGAACATCATTTTCTGAAATTAATGCAACTGAATTTCTTGAAGGATTTTTTTTTTGTTTAAAAAAAGAAGCAAGAAATGTTTTTTTTTTTGTTCAAAAGTTTAGACCCAATAAAAAAACTAATAGATATATCTTATTCCTGACGTTTTCATTGTGAGAAAGGAACCAAAATTTTTGTTATTAGTTGTTGAAAGTTGAAAGTTGTGAGAAATGAACCTCTTTAAAATTGTTGAAAGTTGTTTCAATGACTTGCATTTTTATAAGACTCCTTTACTACCCTGCTCTTAATTTTGTAGTTAAGGAAAAATTTAGCAATTTGCAATGATACATAATGAAATCTTTACTAGTTTTAGTGTCATATTCTTTCTTCTTTTGGGGTTGTTGTACTGTGACTCTGATATGGTCGTTACTTAGCTTTTGTTTTTCGCATTCAGGAACCGAGGATTTAGCATCCGGGCTTCTAGTACTGGTTTTACTGATTCAGAGCCGCCAATTACTTGCACACAAGACAGGGCTAATAGTTTTGACTCTTCTGAATTGACACCAAATGTATGTAAGTGTTTCAATGGATTTTGCCGCAGAAAACATGTTTCTGCAAACCTATTTCTGGTGCGACGCAGTCTGTCTTCACAAGCCGGTGCGAAGAGCAGCGACAGGGAAGATGAATTGGAGAATGAGTTTTCTGAACTTGAAGGCACAGATCGTTCTAAGGCAGTTAAAGACACTAATTTACTGGACGAAAATGCAGACGAGCTGATTTCTGAACGAGATTTTTCCGAGGTTGATGATGATGATGCTGAAGTGTCTAAAAATGATCTGGGGCTATCAGATACTGAGACTGATTTAAGTGAGAGACTGCATACTGAGAAGACGGCAGATTCAGCATTGTTCAGAGCAATTGCAGATGCTCCAGGTTATTCTGTTCGTGACGCTCTCAACAAGTGGGTTGAAGAAGGAAATGAGGTGGACCGAGGAGAGGTCTACTTGGCCATGCTCAGTCTTCGTAAGGCACGGATGTACGCAAGGGCATTGCAGGTGAGTTTCACAACTATATTTATACGCCTTGTTGATGTAATTGGATAGTAAACTGAGTTGTGTATTGTAGTGCTAACTTTGTCATACTTATTAACTTCCTAATCAATTATTTCCGAGAAGGCTGTTTGCAATTATACGTGTTAGATAGATCCTTGTGGCATCCAGTTGTCTGTACCTAGTGGATCTGCAATTAGTTTTATATTAAACTTGTAATCAATCTTGTTTATTGGATTAATAAAATTGATTATCACCATTATGATAAGAACCAAACATGAACAGAGCAATTTGAACAGAAATAAATAGAACTATATTGATGAAATAATAGAAAGATTACAAAGTAAACCCTAACAATAGTGGTATTCGAGAGACCACCAACTCTCCCAAGTAAACCCAAATTTTCCCACTAATCGGACATGACCTCTCTAACCACTAATCCCTCCCTTTTATACTTCTCATTCTCTTCTAACCACTGTTATTAACTAACAAAACCAACAGCTAAAGCCATCTAACAATATTCCTAACAGACAGATCACACTCTTATTAACTAACCAAACTAACTTCCAGGAGCCTATCATTACTCCCCCCGCAAAAACACCTTGTCCTTAAGGTGTTGATCAGGCAAACGGACTGGAATGATGCCACCTCCTTCTCATTTCGATTAAACCGGATTCTGAATCGTCGAATGCAACAGCCTATCTTGGAGAGTTGAAGTAAACGGTGATGAACTCAGAAGCAATGGGTATTGGAACGATAAAGCCAAGAGCGTCAAACTCATAAACAAAAGGTCTTGGAGTGCTGGACTCCACCAATTCCTAATCTGGCATTTGCAAAATTTCCAATTCCAACTCCACTCGTGCCAATTTCTCCATTCCAAGCCACAATTGCATCAACACTTATGGACTTAGCTCTGATTTCGTCAAAATTTGTGTCAAAAATATCTGACTTAACTCCAATCGGACCGAAATAAGAAGACCTAGTCCGAATTTCGCTGGAGTTGGCGTCAATCGCGTTGGAAGTGTGCAGCCCTAGCTTTAACAGCATTGGGACCAACGCAAATCATGCCGGATTTGAGAAACCCAGCCCTTAGCTCGCCGGAATATGCACCAATCGCACCATAATCACAAAGGCCAGTCCAAATTGTGCGGAAATCAGCCCCAAGCACGCTAGAATGACGGCACCCAATTCACATCCGGCCGGAATTTTAGAACCCAGCCCAACTCTTGCCGAAATTCGTGCTGAAATTCCATGACCTAATCCTAATCGCTCCAAAATCAGCCCTAACGACGCTAGAAATCGAGAGACCCAACCCCCAAATCGCAGGACCCAGCCAACATCGAGCCGGATTTTTGGGCCCCAGCCCCAGCTGAGTCGGAATCCGCACCGTTCGCGCCGGAATGCATGCCTAGGGTTGTCGCGACCCCTCTGCCTGCTTCAATCGCGCCTAAATTCGCACCCCTAGCATAGGAATCGCGTAACCCAGCATCGCGATGCTTGATTCCGCCAAAACATGCGAATCCCCGGAGTCCGGCGTCAAATCGTCATTCTCCTCTTCCACTAGTGAATCCAGTCACGATTCGTCTTCAGTTGGTACCTTGAGATGTTGCCCTCGTAGATCTCGCCCAGATCCCTCTTTGACCCTAAGTTTCGTCGCGTCTGTCCATTCTCCTGCCAGATCGTATGCCTTTGAATCTCTAGACTCCGATCTCATGTCTTCTAGCGTCACTTGCCGACGCGGGCCCTCTGGATCTAGTCGCGAATCTCCACATCTGCTCACAGTCTGAGTAGTATGGCCCTCGCCATATCCAACTTGCTGGTCCTTCGCTGGAATCCCTTGTTGGGCCAACAGTTGATCCAACTTCAAAAGAATCACCTCCAGTTTCCTTTCCAGCACCGGTAACGTCTGAATTTCTGCAAATTCTCTCTGGGTTTGCACTCTGAACGAGCCAACCTGCTCCATTGCTGAATCTGTTCTTACTTCCATTTTCTTCTCAGCTGCAGTCCCATAACTTAGGCTTGTATTTGTTATTGTTGTAGTCCCATAACTTGCTCTGACACCACTTGATAAGAACCGAACATGAACAGAGCAATTTGAACAGAAAAAAATAGAACTATATTGATGAAATAATAGAGAGATTACAAAGTAAAACCTAAAAATGGTGGTTATTCGAGAGACCACCAACTCTCCCAAGTTTTCCCAAATTTTCCCACTAATCAGATATTACCTCTCTAACCAGTAATCCCTCCCTTTTATATTTCTCATTCTCTTCTGACCAGTACTAGCAGCTAAGACTAACAAAACCAACACCTAAAGCCATCTAAATATTCCTAACAGGTCACGCTCTTATTAACTAACCAAAACTTACTTCCAGGAACCTATCACATTATGATATTTTATTGTTTTTCCTTTTAGTCTTCTACTTGTTCCCTAAGCTTTGTCCTGACTTGATGTCTTGTTTTTTGTGTCTGTCCACCATGTTCATTGACAAAGCTGAAATGGTTTTATTGCTTTACTGGTTATTATTTCAAGCTAGCATAATAATTAGAAAAAGTAACTATTGTCTTGGCTTGGTATCTTCTGATTGAGGTATTTATTTATTTTTCTGAACAAACCAGAGAATATATTAGAAGTATTTAATTGATTCCAGAGTATATGGAAGTTTCAAAATAGTAGTGAGTTGGTGCTCTATACTATTTCCCAATTAAAATTTGTTAATTTTCTTCTCCCTTATATTGTTGTTAGAGATGTTTGGTCTTTGGGGTTTCACTGCTTGGCGTGCATTTAAACGGTGTCTGGAAGGATTTAGCTTGTGCATTTTTGTTCCATTCCTACTCTTAATCTTTGAAGAGAATACTCTTACAGTTCTAGTCTTATGGTCTTACAAGTGGTGTATTAGTTTTTGTTTTTGTTTTGTTTTGTTTTTATTTTTTGTTGTTGTTGTTGTTGGTTTTTTTTTTTTTTTTTTCTTTTCCGCTAATAGATGTGCAAGTGAGAATTTCTAATTTTCTGTCCAGTCTCTACTTGCACTGCGAGCATATTATTGCCTACTTGTGTGATTTTAGGTTCTGCAATACTTTCGTAGTTTCGCACGTTTTAGGTTCTCATGCTTTATTGGTTTTGCAGTTCTCAGAATGGTTGGAGGCAGGTAAGAAAATTGAATTTGTCGAAAGAGATTATGCTTCTCGTGTTGACTTGATTGCTAAGGTATATGGCCTTGAGAAGGCAGAGAAGCACATTGATAGGATTCCAAATTCCTTTAGAGGGGAAATAGTGTACCGAACCCTTTTGGCCAACTGTGTCCAAGCCTACAATTTGAAGAAATCTGAGGAAGTGTTCAACAAGATTAAAGATCTCGAGTTTCCAATCACTGAGTTTGCTTGCAACCAGTTGATCCTTCTCTACAAAAGGACTGACAAGAGAAAAATAGCAGATGTACTATTGATGATGGAGAAAGAAAGCGTGAAGCCCTCTCGTTTCACTTATAAACTTTTGATAGATACCAAAGGCCAACAAAATGACATAACAGGAATGGAACATATTTTGGAGACAATGAAGTCTGAAGGTATTGTGCCAGACATGCAGACTAAATTCATCACAGCGAGACACTATGCCTCTGCTGGGCTTACAGAGAAGGCTGTAGCTGTTCTGAAAGAGTTGGAAGGCGACAACTTAAATGAGAATCGCCTGGCTTGCAGAATTCTACTCCAAATTTATGGAGACCTTGGACAGGCTGATGAAGTGAGGAGAGTTTGGAAGGTCTGTGAGTCAAATCCCCGGGCTGGGGAGTGCATTACGGCGATTGCAGCTTTAGGAAAGTTGAAGAAAATTGAAGAGGCGGAGGCTGTTTTTGATACGATGATGAAAGTAGTTAAGAAACCTTATTCGGTGCATTACAGTGCGCTTTTAAAGGTGTACGCAGATCATAAGATGCTGACAAAGGGTAAGGATCTTGTTAGGCATATGGCGAACAGTGGCTGCAAGCTTGGCCCTTCTATATGGGACGCACTCGTGAAGCTTTATCTGGATGCCGGAGAGATAGAAAAGGCAGACGCTGTCTTGCAGAAGGTTGGTGACTCTCACCAGAAGCACTTTAGGCCAATGCATAGGTCTTATGCAGCTATCATGGATCACTATGCAACAAAAGGTGACATTCACAACACAGAAAAGATTTTCCATAGGATGAAGCAGCATGGTTATTCACCTAGAGCTCATCAGTTCCAAACTCTTCTTAAAGCCTATATTAGTGCTAAGTCGCCAGCTTATGGGATCAGAGAGAGAATGAAGGCGGAGAATATCTTCCCAAACAGAGCGTTGGTGGAACAATTGACACATATTGATCCGTTCAGGAAGACTGCAGTTTCCGAGTTGCTTGATTAAAGAGACGGTTCCTCCCTCTTGGCATGACCTAGTCCCATTTTGTGGAACAATTACTATCTCTATTTGTAGGTGAAATGTACGGGCATCTATCAACATTTGCTTTTTCTGTACTGCAATGTTGATTGTTTCAAAAATGTTGCCCATCTTAAGCTTGAGGGTTCGACTATAGTATGGCCGTGCTTATTCAATATGTTCTTTTTTTTTCCCCTTTTTTTTTTGAAGGGTTACTCTATATGTTCTCTTGGGTTCTATTTGTTGTTTTTACACTAAAGCAATGTGAGATTTTTTTTTTTTTTTGGGTCCAGTCTCAGATGTTAGAATTGTGGAGAGGTTACTGATCTAGATATATAAGCTAGTTATGACGAAAAATTGCAATTTGAATGCAGTCTTCCATATGTTTTGTAAAAATTTTAGGAGATGAACTTCAATTGTTCTTGCATTAAGACTGATATTTGCTTTGAAATCTCGTGACTTTGTAGCTGATTATAAAGACTGATTGAAGTCTTCATTTTTTCAAGTGAGAGTCCCTCTTCTCTCTCTCTCTCTCTCTCTCTCTCTCTCTCTCTCTCTCTCTCTCTCTCTCTCTCTCTCTCTCTCTCCTTTTTTTTTTTGTTAGGTTCTGATTTATCTATACATCTCTATGCATACATACACATACATCTACTCTCTCTCTCTCTCTCTCTCCCTCTCTCTCCTGATTTATCTATACATCTCTATGCATACATACACATACATCAATGTAAAAGCAAAATGGGGTTTTTCCGGGGGCGCAAACAAAACGTTTGGTTAGCACCGTTTTTGTTTTTACTTCTTCCTTCCTTCCTTTCTTTCTTTCTTTCTTCCTTTAAAAAATAAAAAAAAAAACAACCTTCTCTTTCTTCCTCTCATCTTTCTTTTTTTTATTCTTTTTATATTTTTTTTTATTTTACTAGTCCACCTATGAAATAACTTTATAAATTTGATCTCGCATTAAACACGTGGCCTTGTCAAGCTCATTAATTGGAGCAAAAGAAAAAAAAAAGTATTTAAAAAAATCACGTCTAAAAAGAATTAAAGAAAGTGAATAAAAGAAAAGATTTGAAAAGATTTTTTTGAATTAAAAAAAGAACTTATGTATATGAACGTTTTTGAAAAGATTTATTTTATTTAAAAGAAAGTGAGAAAAAAAGTATTTAAAGAAGGATATTGTAAAAAATAATGAAGTATTAACTAATATTAAGGGAAAAAACAAAAAAAAAGACGATAAGAAAAAGAAAAGAAGAAAAATTCAAAATTCAAAAAGGAAAAAGAAAAAAAATTAAAGTTATATAGGTTTTAAAAAAAAAAACACAACTTACGTAAGGATATATTTAAAAAAAAATTATTTTAATTGAAAAAAGTAAAAAAAAAAAAAGTATTTCAAAAAAATGAACTACCAAAAAAAATTAGAGAAAAACAAAAATAAATAAATAGGCAAAAGAAAAGAAGGAAAAAATGTTTTAAAAAAAGAAAAAGATGAAAAGTTAAAAAAAGAGGAAAGATGACAAGAACACATAGCCTATTCAGGAGCCAAGTCCAAAAAGGAACTCGACTCTTTTTATAAATATAAGATGTTATATTTAAATAATTGATAGAAAAAAGAATAGGCTGTAGAGGAGCTTTTGAAAAAACAAAAAAACAAAAAAATAAAAAAAATTAAGTAAGACGTATTCAAAAAAGAAATTAATTTAATCCAAATAATTAAGGGATAAAAATATTTCAAGAAAAGCATGTTTTAGAAAAGTTAAATGCTTCGTAACACAAAATACTTGAGAAAAAACCAAAAAGTTAGTAGGTAAAAAAAAAAAAGAATAGAAAAAGAGTTAAAAAAAAAAAAGAGAAAGAAAAGCCAACACGTACCCTCCTTTGGAACAAGGAAGGAAAACCTTTTGTGCCTCTTTTATGTAAGTTAGAAATTACATATTAGAGATAGGGATTAGAGATTAGAGATAGAAAAAAATTAAGGGAGATTTTGGGAAAGTAAAAAATAATAAAAAAATTAAGAAATGACATATTTAAAAGAATTTATTTTAACACAAATAGTTAAGGGAAAAAAATATTTAAAAAAACATGTGATAAAAAAGTTAAAAGTTAAAATGCTTAGTAAGACAGAGCACTTGAGAAAAAACCTAAAAAGCCAAAAAGAGAGAGAAAAGGAGTAAAAGTTAAGGAAAAAAATAAGGAAAAAAGAAAAGAGGCCAAATGAAGATTAAGAAAAAAAAAAAGATAACAAAGAAAACAAAAGGGAGGAGGAGCAAAGAGGCGAGCAAGAAAGGAAAATCTTCCGTGCCTTTTTTATGTATGTTAGAGATTATAGATAAGATATTGGAGATAGAGATTATAGATAGAAAATTAATGGAGCTTTTGGGGAAAAAAATAAGCAAGGACATTAAAAGATATATTTTAACACAAATAAATTAAGGAAAAAAAGTATTTTAAAAAAAGGATGTTGTATAAAAGTTAAATCTAAAATGCTTAGAAATATAGCGCACTTGAGAAAAAAAATTAAAAAGCAAAAAAAAAAAAGAGAGTAAAAGTTAAAAAGAAAAAGGAAAAAAATGTCAAATAAAGATTAAAAAAATAAGAAAGAAAAAAAAAAGAAGAGGAGAGGGGGGTGTTGCCACATGGCAACATGAGAGAAAACGTGAGAAAACGGTCTTTAGCTCTTTTTATTATGTACAGAAATAGATATACAGATATAAATCATACATTTTTCTTTTCTTCAAAGTGGCCCTCCTAAAATGTACTTTTCTCTTTGATTCCCAGTTCAAATAATTTCCTCTCTTAGATACAATGTCTATTTTTTTTTTTTTTTAAAAATCATGTTTCCTGACAAAACATTTCATAAATGAGTTTTTATTTTTTATTTTTTTAATTCTTATTCTTTTTTCCTTCTCTCTTTTATTTCTGTGAGGATGAGGCAAATAACATATTTATAGGGATAATAAAAATTAAAGGAGCAACTATAATAACAAGCGATATGTTTGTTTTTGTGTTTCAAATAAAAAAATTAATTCAAACTATAGTTTAAGATTCAAATTAATATTTCGTAGATAACTAAATGAGAATAATTTAAAACATTGATTTCAAATCCTTAATTTTAGTTTATAACTAATGGTTACTCTAATAATTATATATCAATGTGTATCATTATTTTAGCCGTAATATATTAATCCTACGGTTATAATAAATTATATAGTTGACTAAAAAATTTTATGATAATTAATGAAATTGGATTCTTATAACACCATGTTATCATATTTCTATATTTGATGGTTACCATCAATGCAAACGTAACCATTGAAAACTCGTTCATATATATAGTGTGATTTTAATAGTTACTCTAATATTTATACATTAATAGGTATCATTATTTTAACCGGAAGATATCAATTCAATAGTCGTAATAAATTTAATAATTGACTAAAATAATTTAATACAATTAATGACATTAGATTCTTATTACGCATCATCATTAAATTCTTATCGCGTCTCATCATCAAATTTTTATATTTAATAATAAATGTCAATGAAAACATAATCATTACATATATATATATATATATATATATACCCATACATACATATCATGAGGAATCATGGTGCTGTAAAAAGTCCACTCCATTGATCAGCCAAAAACAAAAAAGTCCACTGCATTGTGCATGGTGATATGTCAGAAAGCATTGCTCTATAAAAACTTCGTTATGGTCACACATTCGAGTAAAATAAACATGGGTTTGATACTTTTGCTCAAACGCGAACAAAATAAATACACGATAAGGCGCTGACGAAGCTAACATATAATTTCAGTAGGGCACAATAAATATAAAAATATTGAGTTAAAATAACAGAAAAAATTAAGAGCTTTTCAGAAATCTTAAAAAATATATATTATAGAATTTTTCTCCCATCCTTTTTCAATATTAAAACCCTAGCAACAAGCTTAGAGGAGGAGTTCTCTGAGATCGGAGGTCCGGCTATTCGTTGAATTGCTGGCCTTCAAAGTTCGTCGGAAAGATCGCAAAAGTCACTAGCTTCGGGTTCGTGCCGACGAAAGTGTGGATAGTTATTGAAATAGAGTTGTTCAAGGGGAAGTAGTTTCTGGTCTTCTACCCTAGATATAGGATGCTTCATCGTGAGATTCTGTTGAAACTCCGGGAACTAGATCGTGGAAAGGAGACGAGAAAGGTGGTCCAGAGTGTGGCAGTCCTCGCTCGTTCGCGGTGGTGTGTGGGTCCCACATGCCGCCGTGTCTTCCGTGCTTTTGTCGCTGTTTCAGGAGCTTTTCTTCGGTGCCACTCCTACCGTGTTTTACATATTTCCAGCGTCGAGGGACTCGATTTTGCTAGTTTGATTTTATGGGATCTTTGTAGAGTTTTTTCTGTTTTTCTGTTTTATGTTTTTATTTTGTTGTAATAATAGTGATGGTGTCCCCATCTACTGACGTTAGGTCTTGGCTAGAGGGTGGTCTCCCCACTGCTTTAAGTCTGAGTTATGTAGTCCATTTTAGGATTGAGATATCTGGAGTCGTTTCAAAGTAGCCGAACCCTATTATAGTACCACTAGTTAGAGGAGTTCTCTCCGTTATTGGGTAAATGGCGCGTTTATATTGTCTAATCATGTGAGTAGCACCCGATTCTTGATTTTGATTTTGTCTTGTATCTTAGCCTTTAGTGATTTTTTAATAAAGTTATGCTATTACCTTAAAAAAATCTTAAAAAATAATTTGTTATATGTATATAGATATATATATTTTTTTTGCAGAATTATTATACATAGTACAACATAATATCTTGAACCCCAAAAATAAAATACAAATATAGTCAACTAATATGCTTATTGTTTACTTTTAAAATCAATAATTTTAAGGAACAATCAGGTATAACAGTGGCTTTCAAGGGGAAAAAAAGTATAACAGTGGCTAGATTTTGTTTTTGGATATGTGGAAGAAAAGGGCAACGGGAATTTAGAGAGAGAACAGTAAAACAAACGAAGGGGAATGGCGTTTGGTTCATGAATTAGAATCATAAAATTAGAATTATTTTTAATTTACGTGTATTTTTTATGAGAGAAAATACTGTAATAAACTATGAATTATGATTCGAATCGGGGTACGAATCTCCTAACTAAACAACTCAGACCGAAAGAATAGAGGGAGAAGTTGAATACACCACTAAGAAAAATAAGAGGATAGGTAGATTTTTTTTTTTTTCAGAAGCTAAAATAATAAGAAAATAAGAATTACAAAAGAGAAATAACAAAAGATTAAAAAAATGTGCAAGGCTACGCTAAAATCAATATCATCCCATATTGAAAGTCAAAAGCTTTTTTAAGTGGACGTATGCAGGTATGTATCACAATTTGGAGAGTAAAATATGATTTGAAGATTAAAGCCTCGTTCACTTATTTGAGTTTATAATTTGAATTTTTTTACAGTAAAAAGTTCTCATAAATAATCACATTTAACTTTTTTATTACAATAAAAAGTTCTCACATAAAATCACATCTCAACTTGAATTTTAAACTCGAATCAGCTAAGTGAACGGGACTTAAAAATATAAAGGATTTTCTTGGACACGTGCCACCACCGGTTTCTATTTGGCTCCATGCCAGCGATAAAGTGTAATGAGTATTGATCTATTACCGCGACAATGTGATTTAAACTTAAATGCAGGTTCGGCGGGTGGATTAATTTCGTGATTCGAATTATAATTTGTTATAGTATTTTTTTTATATAAAAAATATACATAAATTAAAAATAATTTTAAATCATGATTTTAAATTTATGAATTAAACATTATAAATTTTCTCTTGTACGTTAACACATTAATAGATTAAGTTTTTATTTATTAAATTTATATAAAATTACGTAAAAATTTAAAAAAATATAGATTTTATGGTTAAAAAAATTTAACTTATCAGTACGTCAGACGTATAAAAAATCTCCTTTAAACCTAACAGTATATACTACATAAGTTGAATATTGTTTGTGGATTTTTTTTAACACCGTTACGTCTATTTTATGATCACCATCACAATAAGCTTAAGAAGAAATCTATTTAGAGCAATAATTTTAAACCGTTAAATCACATTTAATCGTATCATATTAAAAAAAATACCATGATATAACTAAAATAGACAGAGATATAACAATTTATAATTGTGCCTTACTGTTAGGTATTTTTCCTTTTTTGTTTTTTGTTTTTTTTTAAATCTTCCCTCAACATGCAGTAGAGTATGAACTATGAAATGAAACCATATTAGTAAAACACAATTTTAAATTGTCAGATTAGTTCACAAATTAGAAAATATGACAATTTAACATGATTCAATAAAAATTTAAGCCGTTTACCAACACGCTATTGATAAGATTTTGTCTTACCCCTCCAAAAAAAAAAAAAACCAAAAAAAGTACTCACGAACCATTTTAATGTTATTTTAGATCTAACCCACTTCCAATTTAGCTTCAACTCTTATGATTCAAATGAAGTTAATATCATTATAATCATTATGCAATAATATCTTTGATTAATGCGTATTTTTAAACATTATACCACATTTAATAACTTCCTTTCGCTGTTGTTCAAGGGTCTCACTCTCTTTGATATTTTGATGTGTTAGTTTGTAGATTTTCATTTTATTTTATGTTTTTGTTTATAAAGACAGGACGACAGAGCTCTTGGGCAGCCGGTAAGGCGGATGACACCCAAATTAGAGATGGGAAGTTAAAGATTTGGATTGCCGATCTTGGCACGTCCAACGTTTATGATATGTTTACTTATCAGGAGTAAGTAATAGAAATTAAAAATCAGAATCAATCTCATGTTTATTTACTAATTTTTATCTTGAAATGAAAATAAAAATGTGTGGGTCTCACATTAATTTAGGATTGAAGAATGAGATTGACACTCTTCCTATCCCCCACCAGATTGACACTCTCAATCCTAATAGTAAATGTTAATTACGATTTTATCCTTAATTCTACTAACAAATTTGTGAATAGAAAAGTAAAAAGTAAAAAATTAAAAAATGCCATAATTTATTTTCACGCCTCTCATATCTCCTTGTTCACTTCCTCTGATATTTTTTTTCTTTTCTTTCTTTCTTATGAGTGCCATGGACGAATTCATATCAATGCAAATAATTAAATGAAACTAAGATAGTTTTTTTTATGCTTATAATTTGATTCTTGTGTTATACCTACTCTATATTTAAGTTGATTTCTGTTTTTTATAATATGTAATGCAATGCTAAATCTAATTTTATATGTTGATAATGTAGAGTAACCATGTCTTAACTTTTAGTACGAAATAAGAGAGTGATGAACAAAATTTAATTACTAATTAGTTATTCTAATTTAGATGATTAATTAGGCGTGATTAAAAAAATCTAATTACTAATTAGTTATCTTAATATTAAGATAGTTAGCATAATATACAATTTCTTTTTTTAGAAGTTTAACACATAAAAATCTACTAAAAGGGTATGTAAGTAAATTTATAACTTGTTTATTCCGATTCTGGACGTAAGTAAACGCATGAATGAGATTGGGAATGATTCCGACTCTGATTCCTAGAACCTAAATAAACAACTTATTATGAATCTGATTCCTGACTCTGATTCATGTCCACTCCAAATTCTGTCCACTTTAATTCATGTCCACTCCAATTACGGATAAGTAAACATACTATTAGAGGTTGATGGTTTCAATTTGCATAGTATGGGGCTTCCAGTGGTCATGGCGCATGTTCTTTTGTCTAAAAAACTCAAAAAAAGACAATTTAAGTTTCAACTTTATTCAAGTTCACGTTCTTTTAAGTTTCAACTTTATTCAATTTTACTCAACTTTATTCAAGTTCTAACTTCAACTCAAGTTATAACTCAAATTCAATTAAAAAACTACACTCAAGTTATACTCTAAAAGAACAACCCCGTAGTTTGATGGCGCAATGACATCACTTAAGTCCACATGCATATTGTTTAGGTGGCGTGTTGGCACCGCAACTTGCTCTTGGGTTGTGCTACAATTCCTTGTGATCCTGTTGAAAGTCATATCTTTTTAGACGTTTGATTTATGGATTTAAAATTATTTTTAATTTATATGTATTTTTTGTGAGAAAAAAATACTGTAACGAGCCACAAATTATAATTTAAATCATGACAGAAATCCTCGTACCAAACACATTTTTCTAGCTTAGGGTTAGTGGCATAGTCAAAAACTTTTTTAATAGGAGCGGGAGTGAAATTAAAATTTTAAACTAAAATAATAATATAATTATTATTTTATTTCACTATTGCACTATTTTTTTAATATAAATAAATCAATCTTCTAATTAAGTTTAATTCGTTTTTCAAGATCTACAGTGAACCTTTATCACAGTATCATCGAATGTTGATTTATTTAGCAATTTAAATTTGATATATGAGATACTCAAAAGTTTTTTTTTTTTTTTTTAAAGTAAATATGAGATACTCAAGAGTTAAACTTTGAGGTATAATTAAAATGTTTTTAAACATTTCGTATAAACGTCAAGAGTGGAAAAATTCAAGAGGCAATATAAGGAAATTAAAAATATAAAATAAAAAGAGAGAAAGAGGGAAATATGCTAAAATTTGAGATGAATTAAAATTAATAGGCTAATAGTTTACATAAGTTAATAAATATATCAAATTACTGTTTTCGTCCATAACTTGTCTGGTTATGAACCATAACTTGACAAGTTATTGTCCATAATTATCCATAACTTGTCTGGCTATAAACCATAACTTGACAAGTTTGTCCATAACTTATTTGATTATGAACTATAACTTGACAAGTTATAACTTATTAATTTATATAACTAAAAATTAACCTATATACTTTCTTAAATTTTTTATATTGACATATTTTCTATTATTTCTCAAATAAAAATTTAATTGGGTTAATATTAAAAGGGCCATTTTAGATGGGCGCCCCCGCTCGGCTTAAAGAGGCTTCGCCACTGCTAAGAGTGTTTTTTTTTTTTTAAAAATTTTTATTGTTAATTTGTAATAACAACAGTTCTTACATAGATTAGCTTGTGCATTTGTTTGTTTGATTACAGTCTGGTTGTGAATTTTTCTATCTATTACTGGGTTTCCACTTTTTATTGTTTTTTATGCGCCCTTGGTACATTTTTATGAGCAGTAGATTTTATAAAGGGCTATATCTATACTCGGTCTTTGGTGTACCTTTATAGGTATCTACTATTTATGAGCATTTCATTTCAGTTTACTCAAGCATGGTGTTTCCTATAGTATAGATAGAGTTGTATTAGTGTTTCCTAATGTTTTTTTCCTCTTAAAAAATGATTAAACAAAAATAGGCAACATATAAATGTGTAGGGCTGGTGGTGATCCGGATAAAGACACTACGATACGACTTAAAATCCACATAAAATTAATAAATTTGTATTTATTATAAATAAATTTGAATTAAAATCAGATCGAACTAAAAAAACACAATTAAATAGTATATCATTTTTATATTAACCTACCAACCCATAATTAATCTGTCATAATTTATTTATTAAACGCGTTATATTTAAATAACACCAATACAAAATACAACTACAAGTACAACCCGTATTACCTATTTTACAAATATATATATATATATATATATTTTTAAAAGAAAAAGGTTAATAAAGTAATAGTATACAAAACAAAAGGCTGAACTCTTAAGCTAGGTTTTCCTCTCTCATTTTTTTCACTCTCGAGCGCCGCTTCTTCACTCCGCACTCTCCACCGCCGTCTGCCGCTTCTCATTTTTTCACCCACCCTTGCGATTTGCGGCCTTGTTTCTTCTTCTTCTTTCATCTCCGCCATATTCTCTCGGTCAGATCGGCCTTGGGGAAGTGTTGTTCTTCTCATTTCTTTGTCAGATCGCCTTCGTGAAGTGTTGTTCTTCTCATTTCTTCGTCAGATCGGCCTTTGTGAAGTGTTGTTCTTCTCATTCCTTCGTCAGATCGGCCTTTGTGAAGTGTTGTTCTTCTCATTCCGTCGTCAAATTCGGCCTTAGGGAAGTCAGATTCGGCATCTCGGTTTCAGGTAATCTACAGCCTATCTTTTAAAAAGTACTAGAACTGAATTCGTATTAAAACGTTTAAATATTGCTCCAGTCATATATACCCCCTCTATAATTGAATAAAGATTCAATTATTGAGCAGGTCAGAATTTTCTTTTATTTTGTTCACAAGTTCACAACGTATATTTGAATATTTGAATTTCAATCATAGAGTTAGTCCCTAAGTACATGAATTTGCATGCTCAAATAGGTTATCCAGATTTTTGGTCGATTTCTTCCTACAAAAAAAAAAAAAAGAAAATGAAAATGAAGATAAAGTTTCTTGGTCAATTGCTTCCTCAAAAAATAAAATAAAAGTTTCTTGGTTGATTGACAGTTATTGGGGTCAATCGTGGGGAAAAAAAACACCAATATCTCACCCCACAACGGATTTCTGAGTCGTCCTAGGGGCTATATATATTGTAGAGGTTGGAAACCTGCTTCGGAAACCATAAGAGAAACATGTTAAGGATTTAAATTACGAAGGTTTTTTTTCTAAAGAAAAATTATGTTTTCCCTCTTTTTATTAGTGGGAATTTTGGTCAGAGAAAAATGGCCTCAAAACAAGGCCAGTTTGATCAGTTTTTATGTTGTATTGAGCTTGTAAGTGTTAATAATTTATAGATGGTGAAGTTGAGTTGGAATACTTTTACTAGTACTGTTAATATATAAATTCTTAGGGTGTCATAAGCTTAGACTGTTAATGTCGTTTACATATGTGAAACTGACTTGTCGTTACGGATATTTTCTTATCTTATTACCCGTAACTGACTTGTCGTTTAAGGCACTCAACTTTTGTGTACAACACTACTTGTGGTTTAGTGAAAGATTAATGTCGTTTACATATGTGAAATGTGTTAAATTGAATTAATGTTTTCTTTTGTGCAGATTAATTTAACATAATGGAAATTGATCTTGAGTCCATTGAGTCTCATAGTGTGGACGTTGATGTTGAAGAGGTTGATGGATCGAGTTTTAATATCGAAACTCAAGGTGAGCAACTCCCAAAAAGAAAGAGGAAGCTGACCTCAGAGGCTTGGAGCCACTTTGTTCATCTACCTTTGGGTCCGGACAAAAAATTGAAGGCCAAGTGCAAACATTGCCACTCTGTGTATCTTGCGGACAACAAGTATGGAATTGGTAATTTGAAACGCCACCTTGTGACTTGTCTGAAAACCTCCTTCCGTGATAAAGGGCAGATGCTCCTTGCCCAAGAAACTGGTGCAGTGACACTTGGTGGAGGTAAATATAATCCTGAAAAATTTCGTGAGTTGGTTGTATCCGCTATAATCCTGCATGATCTGCCTTTTAGTTTTGTTGAATATGCGGGAATAAGGTCTCTATTTCAGTACTTGCACCCTCAAATTCAATTGGTCTCTAGGAATACTATAAAGGCTGATGCTTTAAAGTTGTACAAAAAGGAAATGTCACGAATTAAATGCTTGTTAGAGGCTACTCCTGGTAGAATTAGCTTTACTTCTGATGCATGGAGTTCTTTGACTAGTGATGATTATATTTGTCTCACTGCGCATTTCATAGATAAGAATTGGAACTTGCAGAAAAGAGTGTTAAACTTTAGTTTTATGCCACCCCCACATAGTGGTGTTGCCTTATCAGAAAAACTTTATGGTTTTTTGAGTGACTGGGGAATTGAGAACAAGGTGTTTAGTGTGACATTAGATAATGCTTCAGCAAATGCTATTTCTGTTGACATGTTAAGAGAGCAACTAGTTGTGAAAGGGGTTCTTGTACACAATGGCGATCTATTTCACATGCGATGTTGTGCACACATACTAAATTTAGTTGTACAAGAGGTTTTGAAGCAGATTGATGATTCTATTATTAAAATTCGTGATAGCGTCAAATATGTCAAGGGATCCCAAGTGAGGAAGCAAAAGTTTTTAGATTGTGTGAAGTTAATTGCAATTGGTGATAAGAAAGGCTTGTGTCAAGATGTACCAACTAGGTGGAACTCGACTTATCTCATGCTTGAAAGTGCTCTTTATTATCGCCATGTATTTCAACATTTAGAGTTGAGTGATTCAAACTACAGGCATTGTCCTTCTAGTGCCGAGTGGGACAAAATTGAAAAGATCAAAACTTTTTTGAAGTTGTTCTATGATGCAACTCTTAAATTTTCTGGAACAAAGTATCCCACTGCCAATTTGTACTTCCCTTCCATTTGGTATTGTTGCTTCATGTTGAAACAATATAGCGAAGGTGATGATGAGTACTTAAAGTATATAGCAACTCAAATGTGGGGCAAGTTTCAAAAGTATTGGTCTGAGTTCCATCCTACCTTGGCTATAGCATGTGTTCTAGATCCTCGTTTTAAGCTTGGGCTTGTTGAGTTCAGTTACAAAAAGCTGTATGGAGATGATTGTCTTGAATGCATATCATTAAGGAGTAAGTTGTTCTCCATTTTTGAAGAGTACAACAAAAAAACTAATGCTACAACTAGCCAAAAGACCAATTTTGTTGAATCTTCTATGAAGGAAAAAGAAGGAAATGACGATGTGGATGCTATATTCAAGGTAATGCCTCTATTTCTTTTTAAATGTTTATTGGTAATGTGGATACTCTATGCTTATGTCTGCTTGTGTATTCTTATACTATCTCCTCTTTTTTTAGGAATTTGATGAGATTGCTGCTGCTTCACATAGATCAGAGCTTGAGGTTTATTTGGATGAGCCAAGACTGGCTAGGAACACGGAGCTTGATATCCTTTCTTTTTGGAAATCAAACCAATTTCGATATCCAACACTAGCTTCTATGGCTTGTGATATATTGGCTGTTCCTATCTCAACAGTTGCTTCTGAAGCTTCATTTAGTATTGGTGGTAGAGTTCTTGATCCATTCCGTAGCTCACTTAAACCAAAGACAGTTGAAGCACTTATTTGTACTAGAGATTGGTTATATGGTGACAAAGGTAGTTTCAAACTAATTTAATTTATTTATATTTTCTAACTTGAAAATGATGATGAATCGATTTCTGAACTGGAATTCTCAGGTGAAGTTGATGATACTTCAGCTTTGTCCAAAGCGATCATTGATTCTCAAGGTCTCTCTGTTCATGACACTCTTGATAAGTGGAAATGAGTTGACCCAAGAAGAGATCTTGTTGACCATCCGTCGTGTTCGGAACTTACGGATGAAGAAGGCATTGCAGGTGATTTGAACACGGTTCCGTATATGTATATTCATAATGTAATTTGCTTAGAGTTACTAGTGAAGTTATAGTGTTTGGTTATTTCCTTATCAATTACTTGAAGTTGAGATGTTGCATGACTTCTTATCTCATGCTTTTCATACAAAGTTATGACTAGAACTTTTTATCACTTTAAGAATAGCTATTTTGCTCATTATCGGGGAGACAGCTCATCATGAAATGAGTTTGTTTACATGAAATATATTTAAGTCGGTTTTCTTGTTATATCTTTTATAGCCCTTTTAGCAGACGACTTAGATCTCTTTTAGCAGTTTTTCTCTTATATTTTTGGTCTTCTGCTAGGAATTTTATTCCTCCATTGATTAACTCCTTTGAATGCGTTCTATGATTCTTTGATACTTTATTTTTTATGTCTATCTTCTTGTTATTATCTTCTTATTTATGGCAACCTATTGCACTTTTTTTTGGACTAATTTCATAAATGCCCCCCATGAACTTTGTACCCTGTTGCAACATGCGCCCTGAATTTTGGAAAGTCATTTCGCCCCTTGAAATTGAATTATGTATCCTAGTTCAAAACCCCCCTACATTTAGAAAACTAACAAAATGATGACATGACACTACTTGTACTATTAAAAATGCCCCCCAAACAATTGATTTTAAGTGATCTTGCCCCCTAAATTTTGTGTGTGAACTTGGCCCCCATGTTTTTAAAAGATCTAAGGGCAAGTTGACACAAAAGAAATAATTTGTTGGGGCATTTATGAAATAACACTAGTTTATGGGGTGTTCTGAACTACTTTCATATTTTAGGGGGCAAAATGATTTTTAAAATTTGGAGGGCACGTTGAAATCGGGTACAAAGTTCAGGGAGCATATATGAAATTAATAACTCATATTTTAATCTTTCACCAAATTCTTTGCCTTTTGTTGATTGCTATATTCCACTTTCATATTGTAAGAAAGGGCGCCCTTAAGAACTAGTGATATTTCATTAGAATTTGAGTACATGTAGTTAAGATTAGAGATGAAAATAGTGCTGTGGACTCTGATCCTTTCAAGTTCTCATATAGCTTTCAATATCTCATCGGTTGATAGAAATTTTCTTTTGAAATGACTGGAAACCATGATGTGAGCATCTGTCAACATCATTTTTCTCTGCATTTCTCTTTTCGATAACTTATTTCCAGCCTTTGCTCATCCGTCGTATTCTTTTGTTGTGTCATCCTTTGCTAATTTTCAGCTCTCAGAGTGGCTGGAAGCAAGCGATCAATTTGAATTTAACGCAAGAAATTATGCTTCTCATGTAGATTTGATTGCTAAGGTATATGGCCTCAAAAAGGTAGAGTTGCATTGAAAGGATTCCAGATTCCTACCGAGTGGAGCTAATTTACCGAACCCTTTTGGCCAACTGTGTCCTTGCCAACAATGTGAAGAAAGCCGAGGAAGTCTTCAAGAGGATGAAGGATCTTGGATTGCCAATCACGCCGTTTTCTTACAATCAATTGCTCATTCTTTATAAGAGGCATGATAAGAAGAAATTTGCAGCTCTACCATTATCAATGGAGAAAGAAGATGTCAAACCTTCCCTTGTCACTTATAAACTCTCAATAGCTAAAGCAGGTGACATAACAAGAATAGAACAAATCTTGGAGAAGATGAAGGCTGAAGGTATTGAGCCAGACGCGCATACAAGATTCATATTGGCGAGTCGCTACGCCTCTCGTGGGATTAAAGGCAAAGCTGAAGCTATTTTAAAGGAGATGAAGGGTAGCAACTTAAAGGAGAATCGTGAGGTTTGCCGAAGTTTAATTTTACTTTATGCAGAGCTTGGAGATGCTGATCAAGTGGAGCGAGTTTGGAAGGCCTGTGATGCTGATCCCCATTTTTATGAATGCATGGCTGCAATTGAAGCTTGGGGGAAGCTGAAGAAAGTTGAAGAAGCGGAGGCAGTGTTTGATAGGATGTTGACAATATGGAAGCAACATTCTTCAAAACAGTATAATGCACTACTGAAGGTTTATGCAAACTGCAAGTTGTTGACAAAGGCTGAGGATCTAGTCAAACGCATGTCAGATAGCGGATACAGGGTTGGCCCACTGGCTTGGAATGCGCTCGTGAAGCTCTGTGGAAGCAGGAGAGGTAGAAAAGGCTGACTTAGTCTTGACGAAATTTAGTCAACAGAGCCCTATGAAGCCTTTGCCTTGTACCTATAAGGCTCTTTTGGATCAGTATGCAAAGAGGGGAGATGTTCATAACTCGGAGAAAAATAGTTTACAGGATGAGACAGGATGGTTATAGGGTTCGGTTTCTTCATTTCCACGATTTAATTCAAGCCTATGTAAATGCCAAGAGGCCTGCTTATGGAATCAGGGAGAGAATGAAGGCAGACAACATCATCCCAGGCAATCTTCTGTTGGGACTGGTGCAACAGGTTGATCCATTTAGGATGACAGAAGCATCTTATTTGCGTGATTGAGGAATTTTATGGCTCGCCTTGCTATGATTGGGCTACTTACAGTGTCTGAAGATTTCTGGGTGCTATATATTCTAACATGACCGGGAAAATATAATGTATTTCTCTTTGTTAAAACAACTAAGCTTAAGAAATGGATAAGGAAGTTCATTTGTGATGCCATTGCTTTTTGTTGGAAGATGTCTTTTCTTGTTCGCATGGCCGACCTTTGCAACATGTTCTGGAAATACAAATGTATGTTTGGAAATAGTAAGCCGGTGTTCGCATGGCCGACCTTTGCATGTGCTTAATAATCAGTAACTAATGATAGATGGTTGTATGTTCGAATTTGACACTTTTAATGTCAACTTACTATTTCACCTAAAAGCTTATCCTAGGAGGTGAATTACCGTTAATTTTAACTTTATTCCTCACATGTGGACTGGATAATGAGTAATTATGTAAAAAATATAAATTTCGTGTATTTCACTAATTTGAGTTTTTAGTTTTAATTTTGCTACAGTTAAAATTTTTTATAAAAGTTACATCTAGTTACATCTCAACTCGAATTGAAAACTCGAATCGGTAAACAGAATGAGATTTGAACTAGTGTTGAGCCCTCAACACGTGAAAACTATTAATTTAAAAGTACAATTATAACGTTTGAACTTAGATGTCTTGTCATGATACTATGTTAACTTATCATTAGCTTTAATAGTTTAACTTAATGCATGGATGCATAAGGGTCAATTGCTTCTGGAGTTACTGGAGACATATCATAAATAAGAAGAAAATTAAGATAAAATAGCTAAAAGAACTAAAAATTATAAAGGTAAGAAGAGAATTAGATATTCAGTTTTCAATATATAGTAAAGCTTCTTGAAGCACACCCATGAAATATAATTGCTCAAGCTTCAAGGGTCATGAACCCCTTAAAATTCCTAAATATAAGTCTTCGATACTGACACCCGTCATAATCATGAACGGATAAGTGTTTACTTACAATAGTAAAATTGTTACTTCGAATATCTTTCTCCTAATTGCAACAACTGAGACACTATTTGCTTATCTAACTTGAATCCCGCCATCTCTGCCTCCTTGCAAACATCCCTGCACTTAGCCAGCCTCCCAGAAACCATGTAAAGTTCAATCACATCCCTGTAAATGTCATATGTCGGTGAGAACCCGGATTCCTTTAGCCTCGAAAAGTATCTTGAAGCCCTCGAGAGGTCATTCAAAGCGACGAAAAGCCTTATCACCACACGGTAAGCAGGCAGATCGAAGAGACAGTTTGAACCCTCCATTTCCCAAACCACAGCCAACGCCTCCCTATGCTTTTTTGCCATATAGCGGCTATGTATCAGAGTTGTATACATAACAACACTAGGGTCATGACCAGACTGTCTAAACCATTTATAGAGAGCCTCCACAGTTTCGAATTTTCCAAGCTTAATGCACACTTTCATTATCGCTGTACAATCCTGCGGGCTTAAATTCAAGTCATCTCTGTCTCCAAGCTCGTCCAATAAAGCCGCCGCAAGAATGTGTTTATCAGGGTTCTTTGCAAGCTCTAATAATACTTTAGCATATACACTAGGATCCAAGATTCTATTGCCTTTTTTGGCTTTTGATAGAAGCATCAAGGCAAGATGCAAGCTTCCTCCTTTGGTGAACCCTCTCACCATAGCCTCGATTACACCTCGGCTTGCCAGCCCAACAAACCTCTCCAAGTCTAATGGCATTTTCAGTGCATGGTTCCTCGCCAGCACCTCGACAGTCGAAGCCAAAACCCGGTCGTCCGGGAAAAGATGAGGCTGTTTCCGAGCCCAACAAAAGGCCTGAAGAGCTCTTTCAGGAAGGCCCATATGACCCAATTCCCGGATTGTCATCGACAGAGACCCCTTGCGCAAAAACTGCCCCCACTTGTCAAGAACTGAGGACACATCTTCCTCTTCTGGAAGGCTTTTGATCTCTCTGGCTAGACCAGTTAGAACACCAGGACTCTTGTACACCTTCTTGGATAGAGGCTCACGCGAGGAAAACAACACTGGGGAAGCCATTTTCGTACGTTTCTTCGGCATAGGAAGTCTCAAAGGTCTAATCTTGTAGGGAAGTGGGAGTGGGAGTGGCCTCTCTCTATTCAACTTCCCTGGCTTTTGTGGTATCCTCCCTCGGAAAAGTGATGCAATCGCTTCGATTTCGTCACTCTCCCAAACAATATCGTCATCATCATCATTTTCATCTTGTTCTTGATCCTCTTCTTCATCGTTTATCATTATACCTGGTTGATATGATTCCTTTGTAGTATTTGTTGTATTCTTCAAGAATAAATTGGCTCCCAAATCCGGAGGAAGCTTACCACGCCGCGGATAACGAAGGTTGTTGGGGATTTTTCTCCTTGTCCTAGAATGTTCCTGTGCCATCAAAGTCACTCTACTATACACCACAAAATTCCCACGTAATGAAATTGGATTCGAGCCAACGGTCAAGAGAAAGCAACCCATTTCCAGAAATCGAACTTACGGGACTTTCCAGCAATAGCAGCAGGTGAGGGATAAGAATGTGGGACGTTGTGTTGTGTTGTGTTCATTCCATTTTAAATTATTGTCATTGAGGAATTTCATCGAACAGCTGGTGGGCCAAGCGAGTAACGCCCCATTTATTCATCTGCTAAAGAGAAGGCTGAAGTTGTTCTGAAAGACAATCGCTGCGGCGGAGATTATGCTAGGCGAGGGCCCAGGACGGTGCGACTCAGTTGTTGCGAGGGAGGGATCTAGCCGCAGGCTTGACTTCTTTCACTGTCTCTCCCATTTTTTGGTTTACAGAAGATAATCTATTTCTTGGCTTTGTTTTCTTGGTTTAGCTCTGTCGAGCTTTCTACTGGGGACTTTTGGAGTGGTGTTTTGTTTCTTTTTTTGTTTTCTTGCAATTAAGAAAAACCTAAATGAAGAAAAGTACTGTGTTTAATTCAGCCTCAATGGGCATTTTGGTAATTACGGTATGCAATAGGGTCACATGACCCGCACATGCAAGTTTTCGTTAAATTTTTAACGGATTTGGACGGAAGTCATTGATGGCTAATGTTTGAGTTGAGTGGTTATTTTATTACAAATATAATAAAAGGGGTTAAAATATCACTTATTAAAGAGTTGAGGGCCTATCAGTATGTAAGTAGTAGATATCTGAGAACAATTTTTTTTAGTAGTGCAACTAGGACAAAAAAATATTGATGAAGATTACTTTTGACAAACGATAATTTGAAGTATCATATGAGAAAAAAAATATATAAGTAGAATTCATTTGAGGAAAAAAATTCTAACAACAACAAACATTGCAAATGTATTTATTTATTTATTCTAACAATTCATTTGAGGAAAATCTGCAACTTTCATTAGACCAAATCAGGCAATACAAATGAAGAAACAAACCAAGGTATAGCAAATGAGGCAAAAACTAGACCCTCTCTAAGAGCAACACACTCAGGCCGTAAAGGGCGAGAAACTACCAAAGACTTTCTTCGACAAGCAGGCAATGCCAGTACCTGCATGATTGCGAACAATCATAGGCGGGCAAGAGTTATTAGACATTTCACCGAGCCTGCAAGCTTGAAAATCACTTACTTGTTAATAATAGTATTTTAAAAACATGAGATGTAATACAATATAAATTATTTATTTAATAAAAGAATTTATTCATTAATTTTATGTGCATATTGTTAAGAATTGTGTCATAAAATCATGAGATGTAACATGATATTTATTATTTATTTAATAAAAAATTTATTTATTATTTTATGTGCATATGTTATTGAATATTACTGAAAATTCTATGTTTATTTATGTGACCTTAAATATTGCATATAAGCGTTATATGCGAGATGATAATATTTAATGATAATAATCAAAACGATGTTCGTAATAAATTTAATTAAAGTTAAGAATATTTAATTAAAAAATTACTAATACATGTTATTCTCATTTAGAATGGAATGGTGTTATCAGCATTGTTAATATAATGAGATATTGAATAGGTATATTACGTATAATGAGATTATGTGGAACATGGACACAAACACAATATGAATTTCTAATAATTTCTGTTAAGTATAGAAATTCTAATTGAGTCTACCGATGATCATATATATAATGATCTTAATCTTGAGTTCTTAGCAGACTCCTATTTATGGATTTGTGTCTTTTGATTTATTCAGTACAGATTCTGAGATCTTGAGTCATATTCCTTATATTTTTTAGACATGATGAAGTGAGTAGCTGAGAATGTTATTATACGATATGAAATCCATTCCTTTTTGAGAAAGAAGTAGATAAATAATTTCCTTGAGGGTTGTTTCGATACTTAGACTAGTAGGAGCTCCGATTTATGAAATTATTTTATAAATTACTGTCCATTAAAGAATCAATGGTACTCAAGGATAAAGATATAATTAGAGAGGTTAACGGATTTCACCTAGCTCTAATTATGAATTATTTATGGAGGATTGATCTATATGTAATGACTATATCAAATGGACATTTCACAGTTTAGAAGTAATTTATGTCTATAATTATGATAGTGCAATTCTAAGTTTATAGTAGAGTAACTTTTGAAATTAATAGAATTAATTAATTAATTATTAAATAATTTAATTAATTATTAATTTTATTAGAGCTCAAAATTATAGGTCCATGAGTCCCCGCGTCATTCTTGTAATTCTATAAGACACTAAGGGTAAAATGAGAATTTTAGAATTATGAAATTCTAAAATAAAAACGCTCAAGGATAATTAATTGAGAATTGATTATAAATTAAATAATGTGATTATATAAATTTAAATTTGAATTTTAACACACATGTGAAGGTGTTCACATGGTGTGAACGTCAAGCACAGTGTGAATCCCTCTAAGATTCAGTTGCTTGCTCTCAAGTTATCCATTTGACTTATTTGATAAATTGTCCAAGTTGAAATTCAAATTGATTTAAGTTTGACTTAAATTAGAATTTAAATTTGTGTCAAAATTGACATGTAGATAAGGGAGAGAGATTTTGTTTCAAAATCAAATTTGAAGTTGGAGATAATTATCAAGCTTTATCTTAGAGATAAAGATTATACTTTTCTGGGAGTCTGACTACTACTCTATAAATAAGAGATTGCAGAAAATTTGAAAATATAATTTTTGCTCTCCCTAGTATAATGTGGCCAGTTTTCTATGGAGTGTGAGAAGGAAAATTTTCTCTAAAAATTCTTCGTTGTGCATGTGTTGGTATTCGTGGAAACCTTGAGTGTTTATTCACTAATCCTGTTTTGTTTCAAGTGTGCCCACACACATGTCTTTGTAGATTCAAGGAATTGACGAGGGAGATTCAGGTGTTCTAAACTAGCTTGGATCGAGGAACATTCGAGGGCAAAGAATTCAAGTTATCGTCCTAATCGTCCGCTAGGTAAATAAATTAATTTGATTAATTTATTCGTGTATAAATTAATGTAATCTATAGAGTATCTTAAAGTTTTATGAAAATTTTTGTTATAAACGATCCGCTAAACACACGCTTCCGCATTCGAAATCGTTTCAGGAACCAACAAATTCAACATCTCAGAATTCATACTAAGTAAATCAAAAGACACAAATCTATAAATAGGAGTCTGCTAAGAACTCATGATTAAGATGATTTTATATATAACCATCGGTAGACTCAATTAGATTTTCTATACTTAACGAAAATTATCAGATATTCTTATAGTGTCTGTGTCCTAGTTCCACACAATCTCATTATGCGTACTAAATTCATTCAATATCTCATCATATTAACAGTGCGGTAACACCGTTCTATTTTAAATGGGAATGACATGTATTGATAATATTTTAACTAAAAATTCCAAACTTTAATTAATTTCATTACGAACACCATTTTGATTATTATCCTTAAATATTATCCTTTTACATATAACACTTATATACAATATTTAAGGTCACATAAATAATCATGAAATTTTTAATAATATTCATAAAATATTCAATAATATATGCACATAAAATAATAGATAAACTTTTTTATTAAATGATAATAAATATTCTATTACATTCTAGAACATCATTCTCAACAATAACAGTTTGCCCAACAATCTCCAACGCATCACCTGCCGCCCCTCCTCAATAGCCCCATCGTCAATTTCCGCAACCTCTTCCTCTGCCGCATCGATTGACAAATTCTGCTAGCGCCCTGTAGTTTTGTCCATAGTTTTAAGAATACCGTAGAAAAGAGTTGAAAGAAGATGAAATTTTTTTCATGATAAGTATTTGGGTTTACCCTCTTTCGTGGGAAGGAATAAGAGGTTTAATTTGGTAAAGGATGTTGTTATGCATAAGCTACGTTTATGCAGAGGCGAGTTATTTTCGATGGCCGATAGGGAAGTTCTTATTAAAGCAGTGGCGCAAGCTACGACCACCGATAATCTAAGTGTGTTCTGTATATACCAGTCTTTTTGTCATGAGATCCAGTCCCTCATTTCTAGGTTTTGGTGGGGAGGCGAGGATGATAGTAGAAAGATTCATTGGATGAGGTGGGAAAAACTTTGTAAGCTTTAGCTTGAAGGTGGGATGGGGTTTCAAGATATGGCGGCGTTTAACCAATCGCTACTGGCAAAGCAAGTGTGGCGGATTTTTCAAAACCCCGCTTATTGTTGGGTAAATTCAGATTTGGGAGGATGAAAAGAATAGAGAATTCAGAAAGAAGGGTTTGAGGCGTATAGGAATACTTTCCTTTAAGGTTTTATTTGCCCTCACTTCTCAAAGTTTGCTAACGAGTTCTAAATGGCAAATTACCCCCAAGATACAACAAACCCTTGAACACAATATCCAGCAAAAATATTGAGTTCCAAAACAATGTATATCAATCTGTATTTTCTGAAGTCCATCATAAAGACAGGGATGCATTCATCCTCTTTAAGTGTTACAACCTTTCACATAAAGATACATTTTCAATTTGATGGTTATCTTTTATATGCTGATACACTTATAACAATAGTTATTTATATTGTTAATAAGTGCTCAGATATGTGAGAAAACATATCACAAATAGATGCAATGGTTCGAGACCTTTTCAGATCACTAAAACATACGAACACATTTTCCGTTGAAGATTTACGCTGCAGCGCTCAAACGCGCGCTGCAGCGCGCCCGTGCGCTGCAGCGCACGCTGTTGTGCGCTGCAGCATGCGTGCCTAGTAAAACAGACCCGAGGGTATGTTTTGCGCAGGCTGCAGCGCCCAAACGCGCGCTGCAGCGCACGCTTCT